TGAGAGTTGAAGCCTTCAGCACCAAAATCCTTACATGCTTTACTTTCTATGAAAGGTGTGCAAATGTACAGTAATAGTACTTAATTCATGTAATTAGAATAAAATTATAATTAAAGACTCTAGTGTACGATTTCTGCTTGTAGGATCTGATTAACTTTCTGTGAGGAACACTCTTTTTGTATCAGTGGGCTGCACAACAGATCCACAGTGTTTCAGACCCATGGAGCTCAAAAAACCAGGTTTTTGACAGAGCAACAGGCATCAGCATTGTTCTTTCATAGCCCAAATAACAGAGAAAGAAAATGAGAAGGATACTGATTGCAAAGGAATATGGCATACTAGGACAGACTAATTGCTAAAACCGATGTTGTTTTTGTCACGTTTCTCTCCTCTAACCTGCATGCACGCAGCTGTAAAATCTAGGGTGATAAAGCCAGTTTCATAAGTCTTGGAGCTCTGGCTAACACCGGGTACCTGTGCTGAGGATCGCAGGCTTCGAACTAAAGGATCAGTACTCAGTCCTATTATCACCATATGGGTGAAACACGTAGCCCACTTCTTAAAGATATGAACCTCATTACAAACAGGATGCTTTGTGACTGTGCTCCTTATTAGAACCACAGGCACAAAATCGTACCAAGTATGTTTTTACTTAGGCCATGTCAAACTACCAGTGATTAACCATTAACCCTACTGCAACTTGACTGATAGAAATAGATTTTAAATCTGATTGAAAAAGAAAAAAAATTGCATCATTTTTTGTGTAATGAAGGAAGATAAATTTAACATCAACCAAAAAGAAAAAGTAGGAAGTCTTGCTTTAATCCAATTTAATAAAAACAAAGCAAAACAAGTAGATTGTAAATTTGTCTTTATGTCTATTTAGAGGACTAAGAAGGAAGCAAGAAACCCTCTTCTGTTTTTCTTACAGGCTATGCTAGACACCTTTCAAACAGGTGGGAAAAGAGTACCACCCCAAAACATGAAGCATTGGTATCTTGTTCCTACTTTAAACCAGGAGCAAATCCATTCTGGTTAGAACAGAAAGAAAAAGAAGAGAAATATTTTTCTCTTTATTTCACATATTTATTTCAAATTCAAAATTTCAAATATGTATTTCAAATATTTTTCTCTTTATTTCAAGCAACCCTGAAATCTTCTAGGTAAAGGCCGCATATGCTGCAGTTTCCATCATGTTAGCTCCATTTAAGGCTCTACTTCGCAGCCTGGGTTAGCCACTAAAGACAAAAGTAATTTTTAGATTCCATGTCTTCTTGCAGAGATCTTCTAAAATCACGGCTGGCCTGCATATACGCTGAGGGGAATACTATAGTACATAATAAAAGGATGCAATAAGAGCATGCAACACAGCAATTCACTTCATCCTTAAGCATATACTTAACTTTCAGCATATAGGAGTAGCCTCAATTATTTCAATGAGAGTGTTCCTGTAAACAGTGTCATGCAGAAACGTTTATAGAACTGAAGCCTTTGTTCAGTGATGTGTTTGAACAGCTTCACAAAAGATGTCCATTTTCCTCATCAGACGTAAATTGATGGTATCCCCTCCCAAGACATAAAAGTGTTAAAATGTTAAAGAAATAATTGTATGATTATATTCTTCAGATATTTTGCTATAATAATTTAATATGGCTTTCACTGAAATACTATTTGTCTGGCTTATGGTGATTCTCTTAGATTAAGTTGTTTTTCCTTCCTACATCTCAGATATTATCCTTATATCTGCTTTTTAACACTAGCTTGACCTACGTCTGTTCTTGTCTTTATGGCTTGTTAGCTCTTTCAAACATGCTGTGTATAGGGCTATACAATTATGCTACATTATTTTCAGTTTACTCAGTTTTGAACTGCTGAGAAATGGCATTTTAAGCTCATCAGCACTTGCTACAAAACCCAACCACAAGTAACCTAAAGACAGACATACATTTGCCTCTTGATTGTTGATTGTGCTCTTAGTTAAACGTAACAAACCCCTAAATGCCTATGCCATTACCCAATTAAAACCATCAATAGGCATTTATCATTGGAAACAAACAAATTTCATTTAAATATGTAACTACTGTTACATTATAGTTATACACTTTTTTATCATATATATTTGTTTTTCTGACAACATGAACATTTATAATCACTCCCTATAGTAATCAATCCCACAATGGGGAAAATATTGAGCTCTTCAATGACTTCCAGCACTTTCTTTTTTTGTTTCATTAATCCATAATTTGTTAAACTGTTCAGCAGTAGTGTTAAGTAAAATATCAGTACTCCAGCACTTTACAGCTATGGTCATGATCTAATCTGTTACAAATTTTGTTTGCTTGTTTGTTTTTGTGAAAATTTTCCCATTAAAATAATACATAAAGGATGCAACATGAAATCCACAGGGAGGAAAAAAAATACAGAAGGTACCAGTATTTTTATGGTTGAAATAATTCCATTGCAGCAGACTGCATATAAGAACACAGTTCTTATTTATCATAATCCTACAGCCATTTTTTAAGCATTAGTTATACTGCCTATTTAAAAAATGCGTAATATGTGAAAAAGTAGGGACAGCAGTAAAGTTACAGACTTGTCATAGATTGCATATAGGAACTTTCAAGTCTTTTACTTCAGAAGATTCCAATGTGAGTTATCAAACTGCCCAGCAGCTGCAATTTACCCTGTCGCATATACAATTTTCATGTTCTGAATGTGGATTAATAAGCAAATAGTAACTCAGTGCACATTTACACACAAAATTAGAAAAGCTTTGCTGGTTAACAACAAATCTAATTTTTGTCTCATTTAACTAATGGCATATGGAATTTTCTGCAAGGCATATGGCACTAATTAAACATGGTAGGAGTCCCCCAGATAGTCAATATAGCCATGAGGTATTCAAGGGAAGTTTCCCTTCAGTGTACATTATCTGTGTATTGATTTGATGGTCTGAATGCATAAGAGCCCTGGGAACTAACAATGTTTAATGATGTGGGAACTGCACTTCTATTCTTGTCTATATGAATGCTGCAGTTGCTGAGGAAAATTTTGAAATACTTAATGAACAGCCAAATTATGAACTAACCAGGACCAATTTATTTTCATTCATTCAGTCATTAACCTCTGATTTTGATATTTATTTTTAACCTTTGTTTTCACATTTAGAGCACTGCTCTGTTAACTCTGTATGCCAGAGAGCATGTAGTTAAAGGTATCACCCTATTTTTTAATAGAAACAACATTCCATATATTTTAATGATACTAACGAACACCTAAAATGTAAGTTGTACAGTGCTAATGATTTATTTTGAAAATTCTAATACACATAATGTGTATAAATACACTCTCATCTATTTGACAATAGCTTCACTAATTAAAATATTTGTTCTACTATCAGTGTTAGATATGGGTTAAATATTAACTTTAAATGCAAGTCTACTTGTATATAGTTTTAATTCTCTTTTCAATTCAAGGATATCGGCTTCCTCTAGTATACAGAAGGTCAACCACTGAAAAAATCAGAAAATTGATACTGTATTTGCCCTGCTTCGTGATGACCACTTCAGGTAAAACAAACAGCAGCAGTGAATTCTCACAGTCATTATCTGCCTACTTACAATATCCTAAAGCAAAATAAAAACCTAAATGGAAAAATGGCAAATGACCCCCTGTTAACCAGAATATTTCCATTCAAAAGAAGGACAGGGTCTCAACCCTACTAGCATCAGTGGATTATTTTTACCAAGACACTTCTCGAACAGTAACAGAGCAGCAGTTTGTGTTCTGAAAGGTAGCACTGACTCTTTTGTAGCTCCGGTAAATTTCAGAGTAATAAAAGACAGTACAATTTCAACAGTGCTCTGAATTGGCCAACTTATTCGATCTATGACCACCACTGACAGAAAGAAAGAAAAACTGCTTCCTAGTGCTCCAACTGTTAAATGTGCACTCTGTTTTTGATAATGAAACTTGAGAAAAAACGGTCAGAGTTAATCAACAAGGCTGTCACTCAGTTTTAAAGCATCTTGATAAAAAGTCACACTGTGACTTTTATACCCAAAATAAGATGAGCTTAAAAATAGACCTGTAGGCTTATTAATAGTCTGCTACAAAACAGTTTAACACTTAAGATACAGAAGCCACTTAGTAAATAAAACATGGGGACTGAAGAGCAAATTCTGGACCATAACACTATTTTCACACTTTCTGCACACAGTGCTGGAAGGTGTAACCACAATCTTACCTGACTACAAAACTACTGCACATACCCTTCACTCAAAAGCTCTAATTTAACAAGTCATTTCAAAATACTTTCAAAGCATATGGAAATACTGCCCTGTAAACTTAGGATTCTCTGCTCTTGACATGCTGTATCAATGTACTGAAAAGAGCAGCAACATTTAAGGTGGCTGAATTCCCATTATGTAAAACAAGCTGCTTTTTCCTGCTGTACCCACAACAATATTTCTGTTTGTGGAACATGGTAAGAATTGCGCTCTCTGCCTTACTGCTCTAAGATTTCAAATATAATTTCACATTAAAATCAAACACATCCTTAAAGTGTTTTCAAACTTGCAAGATTAACAGTTATTCTCACATCAAGTAGTCTTTCTTTCCTCCTGTATACTGCACCAGACATATTGAAAGCCTATGTATCCAAGACATATACAGTAAGCTAGATAACACTGAAAACCTAAATTCACCAGAAGGAAAAAAGAACAGCAAAAAAACCCCAGAAGTAAAAAAACCCAGCTTAGAAATAGTATTTTTACACAGCTGTACCACATTATCTGACAAAGAACCTATTTGCAGGTTTGCTCTAATTTAACAAATTAGCACAGCTTCCCAATCTGCTTTCCTGCATTTACATACCATGCATTATGCACCAAAGAAAAGGAATATAAAATAGCGATCCTTTCAGCCTGTCTAGCCTGTCATCAAAACTAGCAGAGAATTTTTCATTGATAAAAGCAGAGAATGAAAGAAATCAGACCAACCTTCACAATGTACGTCACACCAGGTCCCAGGATCTTCTCACTCGAGTGCAGCCATCCCCGAGAGGGTTTACTGACAGAGCTGCTACTTTGATTCCAGTCTTCACCTCCCGGGTGTATTTCCTCTGACCGTGTTTTCTTCCCCATACTCATCTTGCTCACGTCCTGCTGAGAACACGAAGTGGCAGAGACAAGGTTACATGTGTTGTCTGAAGCCCCTGCTGCTGAGCTAGAAGCACTCGAGCTTCCCTGCAACTTGGAGACAGCAAGCTCCTTTACTGCAGAGGAGAGATTTTTGATACCCAAAAGGCTGCCCGTGCTAGAGAGTTTCAAGTGGGACACTTTATGGATAAGGGTGCACAGGGTGGTGGGTCCATCTTCATGGTCCTTGCGGAGAACATCTGGCGAGACCAGGCACGAAGGTGTTGTTGAAGTCGTAGAAACTGCTGAGACCTTGCTGTTCATGGACAAATTGTGAATAAGATCATCAACTGATGTCACCGAATCATTCCTGAAGCGGTTATACTTGGTACGTTGAAGCATGCCCTTTTATCTGGTTTCCTGCATATGTTCTGGCAAATCTGATGCCAATGCAGGAGATGCCTGTGCTAACATAGCAGGCGATGCATAACAACACGGGCAGATAACAAGGTTTTAGGGTAAAAAAGAAAAGAGTATAAGGAAGAACAAAAAAAAAAAAAGAAGTATTTTTAAGAAATTTCTTATGGTTCCCTGTGAAGGTTGGGTGAAGTAACAGTTTTCTGTGACAGAGATTCCAGTCCTGTTTAGAGCTGCCAACTCGCTCACAGCAAAAGCATGACTCACACAAATGAGAAGGACCCTTTTCAACAAAAGGCTCAGTGAACACTGCAAATCACTTCCTGTAGCAAAAAAAAAAAAAAAAAAAAAAAAAAAAAAGAAACCATCCACCCACTTACAGCACACTAGCACCAATCAATTCTCAAATTTCCTTTTTCTACCTTCTCAAACAGATATTTCCTTCCAACCTTTAATTCCTCACCACCACAACCACCCTTTTGGTACCAAAGGCGATTGATTACCTTTAAAACTGAATTGACAGCCTTTATGAAACACCACACTGTTCTTCCACCTCACATATTTGTGAATCTATAAAGAAGTCACAATTAGGTAAGAAATATCTAAATAGTATTTACACATGTATCTCTTCCCCCCTCCCAAAACACTGACACTTTAAAGGTTTTCAGAACAGATGTCAGAACTAAAAGATATACACATTTTCTTCCACAAAAGCAGCCTAACAGACTTTACAAGTGCCTTTGTGTTACTGCTGTCTCTCACAGAAACTGTTACGTCAAATTCATGACAGAGAAAGAAATTTTTCTCCCCTGTTACTCCACAACAACCTTCTGTTTTAATGCAGGAATTACATAAGTACCTATGTGTGAAGAAATGTATTTTTCTGATGTCCGACAAGAGGCTTAGTAGATGTTTTTTCTTTAACCACTGATATTCACTCCAAATAAAAACATTAAGACAATCTTCAATTCACTGGAATGTTTGGTGTAATTCTGAAAAACTGAAAAAAAAACTAAAAGAACAGTCAAAGGTCCAGGTAGCAGCAAACAGACATCCTGTAATGAAAAATAAAAAAATGCACCAGGTCTCATTAAGCATAAATGTCAGCCACAAACACTTGATCTGAGAAGTAGCAAAACATGCAGAAAACAGGAATTTCATTTCTCTTACTTAAAAAAACCACAACCCAAAATGTGTGCAGCATTGTGATACACAATGCCCATCACAAGCCCCAATATGGCTTTTCTATATAAATTGATCTTTGCAAAACATCTTTTGGATGTAGGTCAATACACTGCATTATAGACAAATTCAGACCACAGAATTTGCATAGTGCAAAGTTGCTTTTTAAACAAATCACTAATTGCAGCACAATTTAAAGGAAAAATCCTACGGAATTCCTTCCCTCTCCCATGACTAAAGGCTGCAGTATACAAAGTGCAAATACAGTGAAACAGCCAGCTCAAATACAGGTATTTCATTAGTATATTCATGACATTAAATTAAGTCAGCACCTCTTATCCCAGCAGTGATGAGTAATGGCAATGTCCTAGTCAGTGTAAAAGCAGGTTTCTAGTGATCTGCAGAACAGTCTTTCATCACCACACTGCGAGCCTGCTACAGCATCCACACAGCATTCATTCCTCTCTTCATCCTCCTAGCATAGCAACAGAAAATATATACATCACAGCCTGTTTTTACGTGATTCTACTGCCCAGAAAACCCTACTGCTCCCAAATAGTTCTCTTCATTAGAAGTGGCTAGCAAAACTGCAAAACGTGAATGAGTCTCTGTGTGTGTGAATGAAAGGGCTGGCTAGCATCCCCACATTTCTGTGAATGAAGCGAGGCCTCGCAGCCTCTGCCAGGCAATCCCTTGGGTG